CCACAAACGACGGCTGCCCTCTTCAAGAAGCTTATAGGAGTCAAAGGTTGGCCGAGCATCGGATAGCTCCCTCCATTGGAATGAAACCGAAGATTTGAATCAAACTCTAGAACAATAAACCAGAAAAAGAGAACTTAATGTTGGATAGGGTTCACGTGAAGAGATAGGAATGATTGGGATAAAGACCAGCGGACAAAAGGGAATTCCGTGTGAAGAGATGAAGAGATGGTTTCGGCATTTGGGTTCAAAGCAAAGACCAGCGGACATTTGGGTTCTCGACATTGAATAACGCGTGAAGAGATGGTTTCTGCAGAGCTTTATAAATACCCTAGCCTAGGGTTTCGTGTGGCTTTTGGTGCAAAAGGGGAGAACCGTTGTTGATTTTCTTTTCGGCTGCGTGTAACCAGAAAAACATAGGTTCTTTTGTGACTTTGAGAGAGATTTTGTGAGGGATCTGAGAGTTTGTGAGAGGGTTTAGATTATGAGATTGTAAACCATGGTTGTATCTCTTCCTCTAATAGTAGATCTCCCCCTCCTTGCCCCGTGGACGTAGGCAATTTGCCGAACCACGTAAATTTGTGTTCTTACCGTGATTTGTAATAGCTTGTAGGTTCTTTCGACAGGTCAGTCCTAGAACTGATGAGAGGAAGAGCTGATATCTCACTTTGTTGAGATATCTTGCTTTCAGTTCTTGTTTTCGTTGAGAAATAAGAATTCTGGTTAAGATCTACTCTCTTGTTGTGCTGCCGAAGTGCTGCCAAAATTTCTGCTGCGCACAACAAGTGGTATCAGAGCTCTAGGTTGGACTTGGGAGCTTGTTCGAAGGATTCGCTGTTGGATTCTTATTTGAAGAGTTAGATCGACAACATGGGAGAATCAAGCACATCAGGTTCGTCTCTTACGAAGACGATACATAGTTTGAGCATCAATAACATGAAGATTAAATGTTCCGAAGTTCTACGGCAAGATCAATTTCAGTTTGTGAAGGTGCCAGGTGATGGATGCGTTGGACGCTCAAAACTTAGAGGAAACTCTTGAGTTGCAAGAGAAACCTGCTGATATGGAAGAAAATGTTTGGAAGAAGATGAATAGTAGGGCGTGTGGAGTTATTCGATCATGCTTGATGCCGGATCTTATTTATGATGTGATGAACGAGACGTCGACGAAGAGGATGTGGGAAACACTCAATGAAAAGTATCTTACTAAGAGCATTGAGAATCAGCTTCACTTGAAGAAGAGGTTTTACCAGTTCAAGATAAAGAGGGGAGTTTCCATTAGGGAGCATGTTAACAATTTCACAAAGCTACTTTCAGACATGGCCAATGTGAATATCATGGTTGAGGATGAAGACAAGGCGATGCTACTTTTGTGTTAATTGCCCGAGGATGATTATGGTACCTTTGTTCTCACTATGATTAATGGAAGAACTATTGTTAGTTATAAGGAGGTGACCTCAGCGTTGGTGAATTATGAGTTGAGGAAGAGTGTTGATGAGCCCTCCAAAAAGGCATCGGGAGATGCATTAGTAGTTCAAGGCTGTGGTTCAAACCGAAGCAGGAGGTCGCAGTCTAGAGGTTCACATCGTGGGATTCGTAGGAATCATTGTGCTTTTTGTAAAGAGGATAGACATTGGAAAGCTGAATGCCCAAAGTTAGACCGAGCCGAGAAGAATAAAGGGAAAGTTGTTCAAGCTTCAGAGGTGAATGTTGTCAAGACTGGTGGCAACAATTCAGATTTGGATTCTTCAGGCTATTCATTATCCGCACTACCGTCGATTTGTGTTGCCAACTCTATAGAGTGGATGTTGGATTCAGGTGCTTCTTACCACATTTGCCCTAGGAGGGATTGGTTTTCCAGCTTTCAGAAGTTGGAAAGAGAGGATGTTGTACTCATGGGTAATGGACATGCATGCTCTATTGGTGGTATTGGTACCGTTCGGATTAAGATGAGTGACGGGGTGATTCGGGATTTGGATGAAGTGAGGTTCATTCCACAATTAAAGATGAACATCATTTCACTTGGAGCTTTGGAGGCAGCAGGATATAGGGTGACCTTGGTGGATGCACGTTTGAAGGTCACATTGGGGTCCATAATTGTGATGAAGGGCATCAGAAGGAGCAATTTGTATTATTTACTCGGAAGCACGGTGATTGATAAGGAGATGACGACTTCATCATATTCGGCTAGACTGGCGTTGTTTGATGCTGAGTTATTTGATTGGTAATGTCGTGCATAGGTTGTTGAGGAGTGCTTTCACCTACAGTTTGAAGTCATGTGAACCCAGTGGTATGAGCAAGAAGACCAAAGTGGAGTTTGGCACTTCTATCCATCATTCGAGGGGTCTTCTGAGGGGTGTTCATTCAGGCATTCGGGGGCCTTCTAAGGGAGCATTATTGGGAGGTAATAGGTATGTGGTTATCAGAGTTAGGGATTATTCTAGGCATTGGTGGGTTGCAACCAAGTCCCGTTTGTGTGAAGTCCTAGAAGCTCACAACAGATAGAGGAAGTGTGTTGATAGAAAGGTAACCCGACGTTCTGATTATGGTAGGGGTTCTTTCTTGCGTTTGTGCCGAGCTCACGGCAATAGGAGACACTTCATTGGTGTGAAAACTTTAAGGCGACGTGATGAGATGGCAGATTTAGGGAGCTGTTCCTTTTTGGAGGAGGATCGACGTTTAATGTCGAGCATTGGCATCGGTGTGCGGGCTACGACATGTTTGGGTCATCTTATGCATAGGGTGTCGACTGTTGCATGTAGAGATTTTGGATCTGGTGGAGTTGCTTCAGATTTTAGGTTGCGTCGGATGTTTGGCTACCCAACACTTGGTCACATCATGGATGTGAGATTTGATCCAATAGCACATTTGGGAGTCAGAGGCATGTTTGATTATCAGGTATTGGTTTCTGACTTTGTTCTGAGAAGATATATCATGTTTGACTCTCGGCAGGTGGAGAGTGGCGATTAGATCATTAGGACATCGCAGTGGGTGGAGAGTGATGCTACTCCATATTGGGTGAAGATTACTCCACATACTCCAGATCATACTGCATCATTTGGGATTCCAGCTGATGTGACACAGATTAGGAATCATGTTGATTTGGATGCATATGATAGGTTGATTGATTCGAGTGTAGCTGATAGATGGAGTCTGGATATGGGCATTGGTTCATCTCAGGTGGAAATGTTTGGATTGTTTCAGTTTGGGGCCATTGGAGGTGCTATCAACCGTAGACTTGATCGTGATGTTGGAGAAGGGTTGCGAACTCTTCTAGTGGATTAAGGCCTTTGGAGGCCATTTGGGTGAACTACGCGAAGGCTTGATTCCTTGAGCAAGAGGATACGTAGGTAGTCAGTTAAGATGCAGCTGATTTGGTGAGAGACATCGACGTTTGGGAGAGTGTTCGCACTCCAATTTGGGTCTCGACTTATTGTGGATTGAGTCCGTTGTCGTGAATAGTTTCACTTCGTACTGGACGCAACAAGTGAGGCATTTGGTTTGGTTGGTGTCGGCTCAATTTTGAAAGAAACTTCACCGAGGTGGAGAATTGTTGCATAGGGTTCACGTGAAGAGATAGGAATGATTGGGATAAAGGCCAGCGGACAAAAGGGAATTTCATGTGAAGAGATTAAGAGATGGTTTCGGCATTTGCGTTCAAAGCAAAGACCAACGGACATTTGGGTTCTCGACATTGAATTCCGCGTGAAGAGATGGTTTCTGCAGAACTTTATAAATACCCTAGCCTAGGGTTTCGTGTGGCTTTTGGTGCAAAAGGGGAGAATCGCTGTTGATTTTCTTTTCGGCTGTGTGCGTTGTGCAAAGGCAGGGTTTTTCTTGGGCTGCGTGTAACAAGAAAAACAGAGGTTCTTTTATGCCTTTGAGAGAGCTTTTATGACGGATCTGAGAGTTTGTGAGAGGGTTTAGATTGTGAGATTGTAAACCCTAGTTGTATCTCTCCCTCTAATAGTAAATCTTCCCCTCCTTACCCCGTGGACGTAGGCAATTTGTCGAACCACGTAAATTTGTGTTCTTGCCGTGATTTGTAATAGCTTGTAGGTTCCCTTGACAGGTCAGTACTAGAACTGATGAGAGGAAGAGCTGATATCTCACTTTGTTGAGATATTTTATTTTTGGTTCTTGTTTCCTTTGAGAAATAAGAATTCTGGTTGAGATCTACTCTCTTGTTGTGCTGCCGAAGTGCTGCCGAAATTTCCGCTGCGCACAACACTTGAGTGCTGGAAATTTTTCATTTGCTTATTCCTCGACTCTATTTATTGCTAGAGGAGGCAATCTCTTGCAGATTTTGTGTTCCTTGAGCAAATCTTTAGCAGTTCTCAGTTAACAAAAGGATCGTTGGATGGACGATTTTTGGCTCCGACTAGATTTTTTATGTTCTTTCGATTCCCTGCATTC